TATATATATATATATATATATATATATATATATATACGTATGTATATATAGATACGGCGAGAGGTAAACACAATAATAGAATTAGAAAATAAAATAAACCAAGAAATTTTAATGATTAAAACGTAAAGAAGTTCTCTTCAGGATACATTCTTCAAAGTAGGGATATTTCGAAATAAAGAAAGATGAAAATTATTCTCTCTCTCTCTCTAAAGAGTAGCGTCTCACGCAAATAAATTTTTTTTTTACGTAAGTATGAAGTCTACAGTTTTTAATTTAATTTTGATAGCAATTTTTTGTACATGTGATAGGCATATCCTTCTTCTTTTCCACCGTAACCGGATGATTTTTTTAAAGGGAAAACAAATACATATAAGAGAATGTACGTGTGATGATGAAACTATGCTTTTTGGAAAGAGATTCAAATTAAATTGGAAGTATAAATAGACATTCTAGTCTGCTTTATCATTTCAAATAATTTAAACTGAGCTTAAATTTAAAGACGTCATGTTGACTCATATGATTGCTAAATATTCATGTCACAAGACGAGTTATCCTTACGAAAAGTTTAAAAAATTCAGCATCTGTTAATGAAGGTTGAATAATTGTAAATTAAGTTATGAAAATTTATCTTTATTATTAAATTTGAATATGATATTAAATTATGCTTAATGAATTTTGTATTTAGCTTCTGTTTGAAATAACTGTTTACGAGGAAATTTGTTACTAAATGAGAAAAGTATTTTTCGTAGAAAAAAATGAGCATCTTTTCTTTAGTATTGAGTTGTATTGAGTTGTATTATCTATCGATTATTGCTAAATCTGGGAAACTGTTATAGCAAATCTACAGATTAACTAGTGTGATCCGTTAAAGTGAAGAGTCTATATTTTTCATATTTTATTTAGGTAGTGTGCGCATGAATGGCTTCTGTTTTGTATATGTTTAAAAGTCTGCTTTGTTTATCGTTACATAAATTAATAATATTAAGATGATTTTTAATATTAAGATGATTTTTAATATTTTAAACACTTTAACTATTAGTTCATACCTAGTTCTTTATTTATTGATGTTTTGATAATTAATTCTATCAAACAATTTGCCGATTGTTCGATTTCATTTTCTTAGCTCATTAGAAATAAAAAAGTAAATAAGAAACATTATATCAATTAAAGCGTACATAAAAGTTGTTGTTGTCCCAGCAGAGTTATAGTACGAGGATCATTTTTTTGTAAGGGAGTAACCTTTTGTAAATGGAGTAAAATAAACTTTATTGTTGAACGTAAATTGTATCACAAACTAAAATATAGACATTTTTTCACTTCTCAACATATTCACCATCAGCAGCTTTGAGACATTTGTCAAGTCGTGGTACCAGCTTTCAGTTCCGATCTTCAAAGAACTCTGCCGCCTAATCGTTTAAATCACTTAGAAACTGTTTCCATCAACATGTCACCATTTTCCAAGAGCTTTCCTCCAAAAAATTCTTTAATTTTTGGAAACAGATGAGAGGTGCTAAAGTAGGGCTTTATGGCAGATGATTCAGTACTCCTTTTTCATGACAGTAGGTCGTCCAGATCTTGAAAATTTGTTCTTCCTTCAGTGAAAAGGCTACACAATTTACACATTTCCCTCTCATTCATTATACTTTCACCATAAAATTCAACAAGCTGCCGGTGAATTTCAGAAGGACTAATTTTTTTGTTTACATTTAACAACTGGATCACTGAACGCACTTTGCAATCGGTGGGATTACTAATTGACTTTGTGACAAACGAAACAATATAATCATACAACCAACACCGGCAGAGATGTGAAACGTAATAACTGCGTAGTGAGAGACTTCCGAAGAGTTGCCGACCTTAAACTGACGTCTCTTGGACAGGATACGTAATCGGTATTTACTTTAAAAATTAAAAAATGACCCCCACAGGTAATGTGAAAATTATCAAGGTTATTTGCATATTACAACATTCTGGATTAAGGTCGCAACGTTGACCACATTGCCGCCAATATGCCATTGGTCACTAAATTGTGGAGTTTTGATCAGCACTACTCCTTGGGTCCCAATGGGCAGCTGCAGGAATATTTTACTTTTATATTGCACACACCTACTACACAAAAATATCTTTTAGTCCATTCAAAATCTTAAGCTGTACTTGGCACTCATTTCCCCACGAAATCACGTGATTTTTTTTTACGAAACATGCAATCTCAAGTTTTTGACAGACGTCTCATTGATATCTGTCAAAAAATGTAACATTGAATTATGATAGTTCTTTACTTATCTGATTTCGAAATCCTTTGCTCACTGTATGAAGGGGTGGAAGTGAATCTTATCAAGTGAATTTCCTATGTTCGATTACTGTCGATGATTGAGTCGACTCATTCATTGATATTCCTTACATTGTATTTAAAAATCAAATAAGTTAATCGATGTGTAGTTTTTTACATAATTCGCAACTTCAGACAATTAAGGCTCCTGCATTTTCGAAATTCTTAGCTCAAAAAATTCTCAATGAACTGTTCCATCTACAATGAAGATGATTTCGCGAATTTTGAGTATCCATTTATTTACATTGCTATACCAATGTTATTGTAAAGAAAATAAAAATGGCTCTAAATGTCATATGAAGGGATGATATGGAATGTTTAATAACTCTCATTTCAGATAGATTACGTTCTCTGGACAGGTGATATCCCTCCTCATGATGTTTGGAATACCACTCAGTCGGAGCAGGTGAAATTGCTTCATTTAGTGTCACGAATCCTTGCACGACAACTGCCAGGTGTACCCATTTATCCCGCTCTCGGAAATCACGAAAGTGCCAAGATTAATAGGTGAGATATCAAAGGATATTCATTTCTTCTTTATCTCAGGGAATTCGAAATAGTTCCTTTTATATTTTTATTGCTTCCACTCTATGTTTTGTTTATGAAGAGGGACTCAGTGCAGTGGTCACAAGATTGGGGGAAATGTAGGGTGTACAATTGGGAGTTATCGGATTATCTGTTTTATCGTAGTTAATTGAATTTACGCTTATAGCAACAGAATTCGCCCGCTTGGTAGCCAAATCACTTAGGATAAAATAATATTTTCTGGGCTCACTTGATTTCATTTTTAGATAATAATAGTTAAAAATATAAAATTAGCGCAAATGTAATATTATTCAGATAAATAAAAATACTGGCGCAAATGAGCACGAATAGCCAGCCCACAATAGGGAAAAGCTCGGTTCTAGTGTCATAGAAGGAGATTTTTTGGCTATGAATTGCTATGCGATATTCAATTCTTAAGATGTACCCTCTCTTCCCCCATGTTTGTATTCGCTGTACTGAAACACACTATGTATGTAATTTCCGCCCCGCAGTAGACTGATCGTTAAGACACGGTTCCCAGCTGAAGACCGAAGTCAAGCATCACTGGTTGCGGTCAGTGTGCGGGTGGGTGACCACTTCGATCAGTCTGTGTAGGGGCTGAGGGTGTGCGGTATTGGTTCTCGTTAAACTGTTCTACCGTACAGTGCTCGACTTTGCGTGCTGGTCACTGGACTACCGAAGCGGGAGTGCCATCCCTTCTGCAGAGGATCAAAATTGTGACGGCATGTCTTCGGATCATCCTTAGGGATGTTTCCTAGACCGTCGCCAATAGTCCATTGTGCAGCTCTAGTGCGACGTAATTAAAATACAACTACAACAACAACATGTAATTTTTCAGGAACTATATATTTTCCCACCAGTTTTTCTTTTAAATTGGTACTTTATTGCGTTTTTTTTAAATACAGCATTTTAAGAATATAAAGTTAAACTTTAAGTCAATTGGAAAAAAAAATAACGTCAAAGTTGCTCTAGTACTGAACTCAAATTTGCTCTATAAATCAATCTGCATATCTTTAAAATAACTATCACGTTCGGAATTTGCGTTAACTTGGAATTAAATTTGGATTGCAATTTGAATATTTTGAAAGTTAGCAAAATATAACAACGACCTGATTTATTTTCAAATATTTAATTAAATGGCTTATTAAACTTGAAGCCGATGTAATTTGTTAATTTTTTATTATAAGAAACAGTCTAATAATATTATTAAAAACATTTGTTAGATTATTGGAATTATATTTGTACTAAAATATCAAGTCCAGAAAGCCCACGAAATATTTAAAAAGAATAGGTGTATTATTTAGACTTAATTGAGAAATGACAATTAAAGGTGTCTTAGTCTAAATGTTCTCTCAATTCCTACATATTGTGGTTAGTATCGTCAATGAAAAATGAATGATGCTGAAGTCAAATAAACGAATAAAATGTGTTTACGCATCTAACTGAACGTAATTCGATAACAAGTTTACTGCCGGAGGAGAAATTTGCTGTAGGTGATTAGAAACGAGATTATTTGGAAGAAGTGAATTAAAATAAAGAAATTAAAGCTAAAGTTTTGAAACAGATTCCATCTTTAAATGGATTACAACGTAGTCAAAGTTGTTGTGTTGTTTCTAATGACAAGCCAAGCTCGCCAGTCATTGGCCTTATTGTGAATTAAATCAGGGAGGTGCGTCTTTCGTTTCACAAGAGATCACACTGCAAGGGTGAAAGAAAATCTTTGCTCAAAACCCCGCGGATAGATGTCAGCACCTTCCAATCGTGAGAACTATTCCTCAATTTAAGCTTAGATCTGAAGGGGAGGAAAATTTTGTCCAGATCCCTGTATCCATGGTACTATTCAGTGATCGACCACCGGAATTTTTTTCCGTTTTAACAGTTATTGCGAGCATGTACATTTCAATGTACTGGGGGGGGGTCTTTATGAAGTCGAGGTCCTTTGGGCAGGAGTATGATTCTTCAACCACCGGGCTACCACGCCTCGGTTGAATTGCATTTACTGCCGTCACTATTTGGATATTTACTAAAAATAGTTTTTTAGTATGATAGTATGAATTGTAAGAATAAAAATAGTCATTTACTTCTGCAATAACAATTAGAGTTATAATTATCATAACATCAAGAAGTATTATTAATAACTAAAAAATGTAGCTGTAACATACTGTATGTAATATACTTTAATGATAAATAATATAAAAAGAGTAATGGATTTTAAGAGTGAGAACTAACATTACGTTTTTACGTTAAAGTGTTTTAAAGTGTCGTTGAGTAAACTAACCCAAACTAAATTGCATTAAACAATTATCTTTGTAAACATTATCTTATGATATTTTTTTTCTTGAAAAAGTAAATTAGAAAAAAACACAATAGAGTGAATAATTTTTTGTGCAAATGTTTGAAGCAGGTACATTGTAAATGTAAGACTGTGAAAAAAACATTGTAAAATATCCATTTTACTCTTTAAGAAATTCTTACGATCAAGCGTGAAATCTAAAGGTGAAATTAAATCAACCGAGGTAATATTACTTGACTGATTTTTCCATCTCCAACTCTTAAGGGAATTGCCCTCTTTTTATATGAAAGAAAAGAATTAAGCAGTTTAACTCTTTTCAAAAATTTTTTTTTTCAGTTTTCCTCAACCAGAAGTGAAGGGAAAATTCTCAATACAATGGTTGCATGAAGAAGTTACTAAAGCATGGGGGAAGTGGTTACCTGCAGATGCATTGAAAACATTAAGGAAGTAAGTTCATTTGGCTTGAAAATTACTGCCTTTATTTCTGCTGAAATTGCAAAACATTATGACTTAGCTTTTTTACATTTAATTGAACCTCAATGAATTATGCTCTATTTGATATTGGCAAATATCGACGTGTCTTTGTTATTTCGTTATCTATTTTTGTAATACAAGGTTGATCAATGTTATAAGATCATTTTCTTAAGCTTGAGTTGTGGTTATACGCACTGGCCACCTCATTCACCAAACTTATTAAAGTTTATTGTCATTTATTTATTATCTCCTGAGAAAGTTATTGTCTCTTAGTTTAAGAGAGCAATGGCCACCTCATTCACCATACTTTAATAAAGGTTATTGTTATTTATATATTTATTTGATTTATAAAGTTTATAAAGTTAATTTCACATGACTATAAACGTCTGAAAATTGGTTGAGTTAATATGCAATTGAATAAAGTAAGAGACAGATGTGAATAAGTTGTTGTGTTTTGTCAAGTTAAAATACGTTCAAAATAAAATGAAATAAAAATAAAATTTCGGTGTCAAAAGCTATGTTTGGCATAAAAATAAAAGGACAAAAGAGAATTAGGGGAAAAGGAATGGTCTGCAGGATATTTCGGAATTGTTGGAAAAGCTTTCTTGCAAATGAGGTTAGAATCTTGTATGCACAGTTTTGACCACTTTTCGACAAACTAGAGTACTCAAAGTTTTACTGGAGCTCTCACTTCTTTTCAAGTTTATTTTATAATGATTCAAAATTCTGTCAAGTTTATCATTAATCATAATTATGACACCTTTTCAACAAGCTAGATTAAATAACATTGGGAAACCAAGTCTTTGTTGCATTTATACAAATACTTGATCTTCTCTAAATTTGGGTGAGGGGGTTTCAAATATGCAATCGGTTTCGTTCTCTAAGCTACAGATTTTTTTTTAAAATGACCTTTTTTGCCTATTTATTTTTGAAATGTGTAAACTTAATAAAGGTTATATATAACAGGGAAATGCATAAAGGCTGCAATAAACTTCTAAGGGAGTTACGGCACATCATTTGAAATCAGCGATACGAAAGTATCATATGCGACAGAAAAAAAAATCGTTTCCCAGAGTAGCCTAATAACCCTGTTTAATGAACTTATTTTAAATATTGAATCCAAAATCCTGTTTCTCACTTCCATTTCAAGTTTCTAGTTTTACTTATTTTTACAGTTGCCTAATGCTTCTTTACGAGCAATTAAAGAATGATAAAAAGGATTAGTGTGATCTTCAGAACTTGAGTTAATCTATCTTCATAAATTCAAATTTATCTGCTATCCCAACGCTATCACTCAAAGAAGATTATCGTGAGAATTAGGCTTAATGTCGAATACATAAAGCAAAATTTGAATAAGTAAGATTAATAAAAATTATACAGAAACAGTTTAGGCTGATAAAAATGAATATTATTTTAATGAGAATTTCATGCGACAATGCGTTAAAAAAATAAATTCTGATTCAAGCTGAAATCAAGTAAAAAAAATGTTTCTGAAATTAATAACTTTTTTAAATATTCATTCTTTTTCAAAGTGTTTTATTAAATTTAGTAAGTTAAAAACGTGATTTTGAAATTTTCAGAAATCTATGCAATCTTCAAATTTTTGTCTTCAGTTTTTGATTATCATTGGTTTTGGACAGCTCTGAAAATCTTTGTATACGCAGAGGAAAAAAATCCCAATTTACAGCTCTTATGGCATTTCACCTTTTGTGTCAGATTTCAAAAATAAACCCCATCTTTCCTTCAAGGAAGATAGAAAAATCACTTCCTTTCACCATTTTTTTAAACCGTTTAAACTTTCCTACTCTACAAATGATGTGCAGATCATTTGAGGGGAAATAAATTGTTGTTGATATGAAAAATAATCTGCTGATGATGTGATAATTTGCAGTGCCTACTGCCGTACAGGAAGGTTTCTTTTACCAAGTAACGGTTAATTTTTGACCTAGCCTTAGAACAACCTTTTTTGGCTACTTGGTGCGGAAGCTGAAAAATGTGTATTCAGCGGAATCCCACAATAATTTACGACTTCAATCTTCAACTGTGAATACTGGAGTGTGTCTACTACTGCAAAAATACAATTCCATTTCACTAGTATATGAGACATGTTAACTCGATTCTATGGAGAGGTACCTTTTCATAGATGAAGGCTGACAATGTCGATAACTACTCCTCTCCCCACATTGGTGACTCGGACGTGATGAGAACCCGCCTACCTTTGTAGAAACACCCACTACGATTCGAACACTCCTATCTTGAGAGTAACGCCCATTTTGATCTGAACACGCCTACTTCGATGGATGGTCCACATGGAACAGTTGACTTGCTACTTGTGATTGCGACATTACACACCTCCTCACGCTGTTGCTACTCAGTCTTGATCACACACAGCGTATACATTCGACTGCTAAAGGAAACACAAGAGAGGCCACGAACGTGAACTTAATACAGCTCTTCCGGCTTCTCAAAAAACAGCAGTGAATCAACTTGTAGTATCAGTTCATCGAGTTCTGTCACAGATTTAATTCTGGTTGGGGAGTACTGTAGTGTGTCTACCACTACAAAAATACATTTCCAATTCACTAGTATATGAGCCATGTTAACTCGATTCTATGGTGAGGTACCTTTTCATAGATGAAGGTTGACATTGTCGATAACTACTCCTCTCTCCACATATACTATTTCATTTCCGTTCAGAATAAGCAAATTGTATTAAAAAATATTTTTAAAATCAGAGGAATTTTTAGAAATCAATGTAATCCGCAGAATTATTATTATTTTATTTATTTATTTATTTGCTATTTTTTTTGTTTTTGATTATAAATGGTTTTAGACAGCTCAGAAATGAGAATTTATTTCTCCACAAATGATCTACTGATCATTTGTGGTGAAATAAATTCTTGTTGAGAGGAAAAATTAATCTGCAGATGCTGTAATAATTTGCAGTGTCTGCTGCCGTGCAGGAAGATTTCTGTTACCCAATAACGGATAATTTTTGACCTAACGTTAGAACAACCTTTTATGGCTACTTGGTGCGAAAGTTGAAAAATATGTACAGAAGAATCCCCTAATGAATTTACGATTTAAATCCTTAACTGTAAATTTTATTTCATTTCGGTTCAGAATAAGTAGATCGTATGAAAAAAAAATACTTTTAAAATCAAATATCTAAGAAAAAAAAACAGAATTCTATTGTAATATTGTTAAGAGTTCTTCCCTAATAAGCTACTTTCTGAGGGTTTTCCTACTTTAATATTTATTAGTGAAACATAACTATAGTTACAATAACAACTTACATCGTACTTCTAAACTCAATTTTATCTTGACATTTTTGAAGTAGATCTGAAAAGTAGACTTCTCATTGAATGTATGTGTCAAGTTTGAAAAATGGAGAAAGAGACTTTTACTAACTCTCATATTTTTTGAAAGATAGTCTAGTAATCGATGACAGCTTGAAAATGTATACGTATATCGGTATTCGCATTTATTTCCCATAAATATTAACTTCAACAGAGCACTTTTGTTTCTTGTTTTGACGGAAAAGCGCATCACATAATCGAATTTTCTACATTATTGCCTATTCCATAGAAAATTTCAAATCTCTAGAACATATGAGAGGACGAATATACTCTTTTTTTTATTCAAATTTATTTATTACACTGAACCAACTAAAAATTTGTAAACAATGTATAATTGAGTGATTGTCGACCGGCCTGTGTAGGGGGCAGGGAACTGTCCTTGCATCAGAAAGGTCATGGGTTCGAATTCCGAACAAGGCATGGATGTTTCTTACTCTCTCTGCTTGTTCAATGTCCTTTCTCCTTTGTGTGTGAATGTGTGTGAATGTGATCCGCTCTATAAACGGGTTGTGGTTGTGTAAATGGCGTGGCAGAAGTCGAATTCCTGGCCATAGATGGCGCCTCTGAAAGGCTGGAACAATCGCACCCCCACTGCGTAAACACGCATACAACAAAGAAAAAAAGAAATGAGTGATTTGTTTGTCTTTTTTTCCCAACTCTAGATAGATGGTAATTGATGATCATTAGTCACCTGTTACCATTATTAATCATTAAAAATGCCTGAGGCACTGAAACGCGCAGATTAAAATAAACCTCAACTTAACTTAACCAGAGACCAATTTGGGTATGAGCCTAAGCTAACCAGGGTTGAAACCTCACTATGAGTTCGAAGTTCAACCAGTTTATGATCAGGTTTGAATTTTATAAAATTTATGAAGCCAAAGCGTCTTTTTATCGACTCCTGACATTTTGTTCTAGCCATTGGTTTTTAATTATTTAAATAATAATAATGAAAAACACAATTCAAGGCATGAATTATCAAATATAAAAGGCTTCAATCCTCAAAAAGGTTCTAACACAAATTCTTATTTTAATATAATTTAAAGATGGAGAAATATTTGCTATCTAACTTTTTTATTATAAATAGCATTCGTTATTTAAAATATTTATTATCAAATCTCTTACATTTTAACGCCTCGCTGTTATATTAAGTTTATTCATTCACTGAGACAAAATGCATGGTCAAAACTATCCAGAATATGGAAAAATTTACAGTGTTTCTGACTCTATAGGAACATCAAAAGGCTTGGTAACTGTTACCAAAGCATTATGGTAACGATTTTGGTAAAATTAACGATAAAATATAGTTTTATACCGTGTGAAAAATTTTGGTAACTGGTCAAATTTGGTATTTTATCCTAATATTTAAGATTATGGCTTAAAAACCATTTATTTGGTTAAATTTACTTATCAATTTTGTATTTTTGACTAAATGTTTGGTAATGAGTACTAAAATTTTAAAAATCAGAATTTTAGGCAAGCCATTACCTTACTGTAAAAGATTTATGGTAAAAATGGAATTTACGTATGATGCACCCAATTGACGATACTTTTTATACCGTGATTTAATCCGGAATTTTCTATAGTCTAGATATCCGACCCTGAAGGTTTTACGTGAAATTAATATTTTTTTTCTGAAACTTCGTAATATATTGCATTTCTTATAATGTTTTATGTAATTTCTTTTTTAGGGGAATGTATTATGCAGTACGTATTAATCCAAAATTAAAGCTTGTGTCTCTGAATATGAACTATTGCAACACTCAAAACTGGTAAATATGTATTTCATTTCCTCTGAAAACTATAAAAAATGAAAGATAAGATGTATTGTATGAAAAATATACAACTATGCGTATTTCAGCAACATAAACTTTCTTCCTCATCCTTGATTTTTTTTGCAGTTTTACGCTATTTGTACACATTACCTGAAACTAGTATCCGCTGATCATAAAACTTTTTAAAAGTTGCCAAAAAAGAGAATCAAGCATCAATAATTTTATGTTTTTCTAAAAACTATTGCTTATTGAGTGTTATTTTTAGATTACATTGCTTTTTTTAAGAAACCAAAATAATTGAAACAATATGCAGTTTAAGCTAGAGGGTAAGATTTTTTAAGCCTTTTAATACATCAAATGTAAAATAAAAAGAATTAGAACCGTTTTTATTTTACTTATAAATAATGTTTATGTGTTCCTTAACATGTGAAAAACATTTTATCAGCGTATTTAAACCGCAGAGTTGTAAACCAAATTTCGTGTTTAAGTACTGTTATAAAAAGGCATTTTCAAAATAAAAAAAGTGCATTTTCCTCTTTCCAAAAATAAATAAATAAAGGAATACCATATTTTTATTGCATAAACATCGAAATAATTTCCGGTCTAGGATAAATACAACGTGTAATTGAATTTTTTACCGAAGAATTCTTACTTGAGCTTGGAAAACTGATTTGTTCCTATATTAAGCTCTTCCGTAGCATCTCTTAAGGAATTTTAACTTTGTTAAAATGCTTTTTTAAAATACCATAAGAAGATTTGAAGTTCATTTTTGAAAGAAGTTTTTTTAAACCTTCCTTTTATAAAATACTAAAATGTAATTTTATTATAAAATGAAAGCTTACTACGATTTTAGGCATACTTAGTTAGGATATGTACATATATTCTTTAATATATAAACGCACTAACATTGTTCGGTGGTCTGTTAAAAATAAATATTTGAAAGATAGTGCTATTTTGCATATAAAAAAATCTAATTTTGCAGAAGTGATAGGTTTTAAATGTTTTTGAATTTTTGAACTCTTAAGGGTTCATACGCTGCTCTATCATAATGGAAGAGGCATTCTCAGTTTTTAACATTTCTTAAATTTATCAGAAGATTATTTTGCGACTTTAGACTTGTATAGTTCATGCAATTTTTCAAGCTTAGCAATAAAATTTAAAGCTTTCAGAGGTTCGAGGGACGGACAATAAGTAATGAAAGAAAAGAAGTTTTTTGAGCACCTTATGCCAGAAAATCAAGCAATAAACTTGTATTGATTACTTCAGTTTTTATTTACAATTACTGCATAAAATATCGTAAGCTTATCTTAAATATTTATAGAGATAGGGGCATTTGTGTAAAAAACTAATTTTTTTGGCTTACGTTTTTCAATATAATTTTAGTAGAGCAATTTAATTTTTTAAAAAATTTGAATAAATTTCCCTTAAAACTTTTCAAGATATGATTATTTGAAGTAGTTCTTTTGCACTGCGCATGAGCGAAAAAATTGTTTTCATAATAATTTTGTAGTGAATCGTATTTGGCGATCATTGAAAAAAGTCTTATTTGAATATGTTAAAAACGTACGAAGTTTTGAGCAATTTAGTATATAAATTTTGTACTTCTTAAAATCAAGCTCAAAATGATCTGGGGTTTCCCAAAAATTTTATTTTGCAGTATTGCAAATGAAACTACCTTGTAACCAGACAGCAAAAACAAAAGAAATTGTAGAAAACCCCTGATGATTTTGAGCTTTATTTTAAAGGGAGATTTTTGATTTTTTAAGATATTCAAATACGACTTTTTTCATTAGTTGCCAAATACGATTTACTACAAAATTATCGTGCATGTTTTTTCGCAGTACATGAGAACTACTTTAAATACTCAATCTGGCGTGATTTCAGGGATACTTTTTTCAAGATTAGAAGAAAAAAAGTATTTTAATTAATTATAAATTGCTTCAAAAATTTTGCTTAATTTTACGGAATATTTTTAAAGTTACAACAAAAAAATATTGGACAAAAATTAGTTTTTAATAAAGTTGTTCATGTCTCATTCAAGCTAGAAATACGAAATTTTATGTAGTGGTTGCAAATAACAATTAAAGTAATTGATACAAGCTTATTTCTTGATTTTCTGTCATTGGGTGTTTAAAAATACTAGTTTTTTTCGCAATTTATTGTCAGTCTATCAAACCTCTGAAGGCATTAAACTTTATTGCAAAGTGCGAAAAATTGCATGATTTAAATAATTCTTAAGTTACAAAATAATCCTTTGATAACTTTTTGAGAAATTTAAAAAAAATGAAAGCGAAATTGTCTCTTCCATTATTGTAGGGTAGTGTATTTGTAGCCTTTGTTTTGTATTGAAATTCAGGGAACTTAAGAGAAACCGTGGAACATTCAAGACTTTTCTTTTATCGTTCAAAATTTAAATGTTTTAAAGAAACTGTTAATTGACATTAATGTTGTTTGGTAATTGTTGTAGAAGTATGTCAAATTCATGCTTTTCTTTACTTCTGTTTATCAAATTGTTATAAAAATTTCCTGCTCTAACATTTTATTAAGTTTCAATTTGTAATTAGTTTTATTAATACATATTTCATTCATATTCGTCCATTACAGTTATTTTTTCCTTTGGTTTAATATGAAACAGTAAAACATAAATTATATACTGTAAACTAAAATAATATTGAGTATTTTAAAAATCTATAAAAATTATTGCATCATCTTTACCTCATCTTCACAACGTCGAATGAACCAGGTCTAACTTCTAACGAAATGCTGAATTAATCTTTGTCTTGATGCTTAAATTTAAATAATACTTAAGCTGTGTGTAAACTTAATAAAAAATATTTAATAACAATCACATATGCTGTTTTCAAAATAAGAAAAAATAATAAAAATAAACATAATTTCCTTGTTCTACAGCTTTCAAAAAATTAACAATGAACAAATCAAAATGTTGCTCCACGCGTCGATTTCCCCCCAAAAGTAATGATCATTTAATTGAAATAATTAAACCAAGTGGTATTCATCCTTTTTATTTATTTACTTCTCATTGCTGAACAGTTTGTCCAGGCATGGGAATCTTGAAATTAAGCGAAGTTTTAAATCAAATTGGTTGTTAATTTCTAGGGATAAATAACCTGCACTTACGTTACGTAGAGAAAAAAAATGTTTTTAAGATATTGGAAAATTAAACAAAAATCTACAGATGATCGACAAAATTAAAAAAAAAAGAAACTATACTTCGAAAATTAAGTGTGTAGGGAAATAATTTCTAAAAGTAGGTCTCAGTCGCCGAGATTACTCTCCTAGGGAAATTTTGGCAACCATAACATCATCAAGCTCACACCACTTTTATTTAAATTTGACAACTTTATTAAATACAATTTTTGTATGTCCTAGCCAACTGGTCATAGAAGAACATCTTGATCATATCAGATGTTGCCGCTAACGCAGCTGTTTTAAGGACTCCAAGCAGATAAGAATGAAAAAAACGAAAAAAAAAATGGTTTTCCATTTATTACCTACTTGTTAAATGGAGTATCATTTGGCGTCAAAAATGTAGATTAATTTTCATCATTATTATTCAAGTTTTTTTAAAGTGTGTCTTCTATACAGTAGATATTTAGAGCAGCCATGGTGGCTCAGGGTATAGAGCGATTTGATTACCAGAGATCAGGGATTTGATTCCCAGAAATAACTGCTCGATACTAATTCTGCTTCTGACTTGCAGCAACTACAGTTCTGACGTAAAATATCTTCAGTGGTAGACAGATATAGCTTAGAATTCCCTTTGTTGTTGGACAAACCTCGGGTCGTTTTAGTAGTTTTTTTTATCGCCGTGTAATGCAAAAGTGGGTTAGTGGTATCAAAAAGTCCTCCATGAAGGCTAGTTTGTACCACAGCTTGATTCAGGAGTTTTCTTTCCCTCTAGGTTGGGTCCAAAACTACAAGGATTTGGATCTGAACACTAATAGTCGTAAACTCAAAATTAAGTCGGCTGTTTAACATCGGTTATAAAATAAGATAGATACTCAGAACAATTTCTGATAGTAGGTTATAAAATAAAATAAATACTTAGAGCCATTTCTGATCGTAGGTTATAATATAAGATAGATACGTAGAGCCATTTCTGATCGTAGGTTATAAAATAAGATAGATACTTAGAGCCATTTCTGTTCATAGGTTATAAAATAAGATAAATACTTAGAGCCATTTCTGATCGTAGGTTATGAAATAAGATAGATACGTAGAGCTATTTCTGATCGTAGGTTATAAAATAAGATAGATACTTAGAGCTATTTCTGATCGTAGTTAGCGAGTGTTTTCTTGACAGTAGAAAGGCGCAAAAGTCTCTCACAGAATGAGAAAAAAGAAAAGACACCAGATGCATTTACAACTCTAAATCATAACTCTAGTTTTTTCTCTCTTTTATGACCATTCTTTCATGTTATTTTATGGCCATATATTTGTAAAATAAATACCTTTTAAAAATTTGAATAATACTGTAGTTTGATCAGAAATTTTTTTATAGTGTAGCTTGGCCTCTTTTTAGGCTGTTAAGAAAAGAAACATAGTTCGATACATATAATATTGTTTTGTCGTGGACTAAGTTAGAAATAAATGTTGTTAAGTGTGGTGGACTCCGAGATATTTCTTATTCAGGCAATTTTAAAGCTCAAATTACGTTAGATACAGGAGCTTTAATTAAGAACTAGATATTTTAATTTCGAAATTTTGAATAGTAAAAAGCTTTTCCGTTTATAGGTGGATGCTTTTGAATTCAACAGATCCCGGAAGAGAACTGGAGTGGCTTGTGAATCAGCTCCAGGAATCAGAACTTAAAGGAGAAAAGGTATTAATTATATTTAAGGGAAAAAAATAATAAATTTTATTTCGAGGAGAAAAGTTATTAAGTTTATTTAGGGGAGAAAAGACATTAACTTCATTTAGAGAATAAAATGTATTAGTTTTATTTAGAGAAGAAAAGGTATTAATTTTATTTACAGGAAAAATGGTATTAGTTTTATTTAGAAGAGAAAATGTATTAATTTTGTTTAAAGGAGAAAAGGAATTAATTTTATTCTAATGAGAAAAGGTACACATTTTATTTAGAGAAGAAAAGTATTAATTATTTTAAGAAGAGAACATGTATTTATTTTATTTAGAGAAGAAAAGACATTAATTTTATTACAGGAGAAAATGTATTAATTTTATTTAGAAAATAAAAGTTAGTAATTTATTTTAGAGATCTTTGGAAACATGTAATTATTTACACTTACTTAAATTAACATACATTACATACATTTTCAAAATACTATTTACTTTATTTATTAATCATTTTACTTTTTGAAACATCATTCACTAAATTGAATGACAGTTTAACGGAATTGAACTTAAATTTCTGTTTAAGCCCAGAAAAACAACTTCCCTTTTTAGCAATTTTACTATTGTGCTTTTCTCGCACTTTTATTATAGCTTTTCTTGCACTTTTCTTTGGTCTTTATGCATTTTATGAGCACTAAAACACTGATGCACTAGAAATACTATATGATATTTTATGATTCTGGTTTATTTTGGGAATTCTATTAACGTAATAAAATGCAAAAAATGATCTCCATTTTTTGGTTTTAAAAATCAATTTGCTTAATGCAATGCAATTCAGGCCTTTAAATTAGCTTTTCAGTGTCCATTATTTATCTCAAGGAACCGTGAAAACAAACGTAATTACGAGACATCCTCATATTCACTATTTTAACGTAATGATCAGTCTTTTGCAGACGACAATGAAAGAACAAATTACACAAATTGCCACACCCCGAAACTATAATTGCCAAATAGTTTCTTTTCCAGAAATTCCTTTAATTGCGAAGTAATGCGTATTGTTTTCGTAACCCAGAAAATTGTATTGATTTTCACAAAATGAATTAAAAAATTCTATTAAACGAAGATGTTTACGTCGTCAGGTGCTATTTTGCTATTTTAGTTTTATTCGAGCTATAATATGATTGCTTACGAAATCCATTGATTTTCTAGGCATTTGGATGCCCAAAGGGAATTAGTGTGAATGTTTATTTAAAAGTACTTGAATCTAGGAGGATCATTTATTAGGAAGCTGACGCTGAATTTCATAAGCATTGAATACAACACGAAGTTTATGACTCATTTGTTTAAAGGTTCATTATTAAAATCGATTTGAAGCTGTGAAAGTATTTTGCTTATATTTTTTTGAAAATAGGTGTCAAAATTTTCAAGAAATGAAATACATTATCTAGCAAATTGATTAGCTGAATATTAAAATATATTTAAAATCAGAAGTAAGAACAAATAGTATGTTTATGTTAAATCAAATAGCGTTTCAGTAATTAAGTATAAAAACAATTAACACACATACACACGCATATATATATATATATATACACTGCTGGACAATTGCTAAGGACGGATAACACTATCATCCATAGCAACCACAAAATGAAGGGAAGCAAAATGTGGAAAATTAGAATAAGTGCGGGATATAGTAAGAAGGGGTATGCGTATGTAAATTTTTTTGTCCACGTTTGTTCATCACGTGATAGCGCTGATAAGAGCTTTAAAGGTTTTGACGCGTTGTGGAGAGTTGTTGTTTCAAGTCAAATTTTTACAGGAAAGATTTAATTGACGAACTTGAAATTTTCGGCATGTCTTCCCGATATTACTTAGATGATTTTAAGCGTGGCCGAATTATTGGAAAGATCGAAGAAGGGCGAAAAATAAGAGACGTTGCCAGGGAGTTCGACATCGCTGACGGTGTTGT